TTTAAAAAATAACAAATTTAGTTGGTCAAATAAAAATCAAAGAAACAGAAAATTTATGGGAATGATTAATTTATAATGTGGCAAAAAAGATCCAAACCATTTTATTTTACAGCCTTCCTCCTAACATCAGAGCTCAAATGCAATTTCGGGCACCGAATTGTAACCTCCCTGTGCTTGAAACAAGTTGCAGGTTCTTGTTGCTTTGATGGATCTGGATGTTTATATAGCACTATCAATAGAGTTGCAGCTTGGCCGCAGAACTATCCTTACCCTGGAGGTAAGAATGTTGCAGGCAACTTTTCGTCTAACATGCTGGAAAGCCTTCTCTGGTTGGGTGCTGTGAGGGAAGATTAGTGAAAGAGTCTTTGACGATGATGCAGCTTGTGTGAACAGAGCACACGCGCCTCCCCCCTGGAATAATCCTGTTGGATCATTGTAACCTAAGGGCATTGCAGGTTAGATTAGCCTTGTGTACATGAGGAATGTGAGAATGACTGTAAAATGTTCAATCTGTAAATTTCCGATAATCAAATATCGCATATTGAAGTGTTTTGTATTTGAAATGTTTCATTTTCAACAGTGTACTGCCTTTACTTATAATAATATTAATATTGATTACGCAAAGCAAAATACCAATTGTTTATCATCTTGATAAGTGTTTGATTTCAATAATATAGAAGACATATATCAATACAAATAAATAATAGTACCTCTGGTTAGTAATTAACACTTCTTCTTTAGAAGAACCACATTTTGTCATCTTTGAAAAAATCAATTCGCGCCAAATCTTTGTGCAACACCAAGTGCCAATAAATAATTAGTGTGCATTGATCAAAAATAAATTATCTTTTTTTTAATAAAAAAGATGATGACATGATAGTCGTGGTAATTTTATTAATAACAGCGACAGTTATTATGATATTGCACTTGAATTACAACAAAAAAGATATTAAAATACAAAGCTGAGATTTCTAAAATGGAAGCTAAAGCAATCTCATCCATTGTATACCAAAATCAAAGAGCTAGCATAACAGATTTTCAAAATCGCATAACCATTGGGCATGATGAAACATGTGATATATGGATTAATAAACCACTATATATTGCAAATATACATTGTATAATTTCGATTGTAAGTAACAATAATTTAATTAATCATACATATCTATTATATGCAATATTGAAATCAATAATAATATTATTATCTATAATTCCATTAGAGTAAATCAAACATTAAGGATTTAGGTTATGAATTATTTATAAAAAATAGTTAAAAAAAAAGAACTTTTTATTAATAAAAAATTTTTGGAACCAAGCAAAGAACATATTTCGAATCACAATGATAAAATTTTAGTCAAGACTTGAGAGGACTTTATTGGTAAGTAGTATAAATCAATTAATTTACATAGATGTTTATGTTTTGTATATTTGGTTAATATTTTATTTATTCAAATTATATTTATATAGAAATGCAATTTTTTGAAGATGCCAAAATTGAACTTGAAAATCAATTTAGAGAAGTAAAGGATTGTAATAACAATGACAATAATGCTGGTAATGATGATAATAATAATAATATTATTATTAAAGCAAGACAATTCAATAACAACAACAACAACAAAAAAAAATCAATACTTTTGAAACAGCCACCACCAGCTACAAGAAAAGTTGTTATGATCCTGGCCTACAAAGGCACAATGCTGAGATTGCTAAAATGGAAGCTAAAGCAATTTCATCTGTTGTATTTTCAAATGAAAAGGTTGTTTTATCAGAAGCCAAAAAGCTGATAACCATTGGGTGTGACCTGAAAGCCAATTTGAGAATTAACAACCCATATGTTGCAAGTGTACAATGTATACTTAAAATTGTAAGTAACAATAGCTTAATTAATCATTCATATTTATTATATGCACATATTGAAATCATTATAATTTCTATAATAATATTATTATCATTTGTCATCCATTAGAGAAAAACAGACAACATGCATTATGTCAAGGAATTAGATTTTGAAACAGTTATAAAAAATGGCCAGAACAGGAAAACATTTGTTAATAGTAAACAGTTGGATTGGGATGAGGAATTGGTTTTAAATAATAATGATAAAATTTATATCAAGGTTGAAGAGGGCATTTTTGGTAAGTAGTATAAATCAATTAATTTACATATATGTTTATATTTATATATTTGGTTAACGTTTTATTTATTTAATTATGTTTATATAGAGGTACAATTTTTTGAAGATGTCAAAACTGATCCTTACAATTGATTTTTAGAAGAAAAGAATCGTTTACCTGCTCAATCAGGAGAAAGATATCACGTTATAAATAATGAAGATGGTAGTAATGATGATAATAAAATTGGCAAATCATGCATTGTTAAAAAAGTTAGATCAAATAACTGTAGTGACAAAAAAATTTATGCTGCTAAAATTATTCATGTCAGCAATGGAAATATGACAAAACCAGAATAATTGAATATAGAAATGAAATTGATATTTTGAAAATATTGGACCATGAGAATATTATAAAGGTAGTTGGTGATTATTTTGATGAGGAGAATGTAGTAATTATTTTACCTTATTTTTGTGGAGAAAGTCTTGAGGACTATATTAAAACATTAAATGGTTTTATAAATTTCCAACATTGGAAAAATTTGGCTTTCCAAATTTGTTCAGCTATAAAGGTAAGAACATTTTATTATAGTTTTATTAATATTGTATTCAAATATTATATTTAATCATTTTAAACATTACCACAGTTGTATATCTTTTATACTAGATATAGTAACATTTTAATTTTTTTATTCCCTCTAGTACATTCATGAGAATTGCATCAAGACATCAAACCTGACAACATCATGTTTACAGATTCTAATTTTAATCAATAGAAATAATACAACTATACTACTTATTATATTATTAAAAGATTAAAGATTATTCGGACCAAAGGAAATTCCAATGTATTACAAATGACATGCTTTTTTTTACAAACAATAAATAATGATTACTAATGTACTAATGTTAAAGTCATTGATGATGATGTCCTTAGATATAAAAGGACAATAATCAGAACACCAAGTCGAACCTCAATTTACTAATAATATTAATAATTCCTGACCTGACCCAACCTGCCATTAAAAATTATCTCATAATATTTATTTATTACAATGACATATTAAATTAGAGGCTCTTTCTTTTGAATGTGCTTACAAACAACATAACCACAAGAATTGTCATCTTTGTTAAATACTTCCACAAATCTTATCCAAATTTCACTTCCTATCATTTTTACCTTTACATAACAACTCTTCGGCTAGTAATCTTGATGGTATTTTGGTTTTTTTTTGATAGTAAAGTTGATATTATTTGGAAGAAAAAAAATTACTTGATATTAATAATCAGTATCAGTATATATATATATAATTTTTTTTTTTGTTTTTTTTAATTGACCCTTTCTTAGAAACATTACTACAGTCTAAGGTTGTGGGCGAAACCTTCTTAGTAATTAATGAAACCACAGCAAAATTATATTAAATCTTATCAAAAATCCTGTTGAAACTATGCCGAAATGGTGAAACCTCAAAATGCGAAACTCTGCCGAAACTCTAATAAACAATTAATGTGTAACCTGCCGAAACCCTGCTGATTGATTTCTGGAGGAGTTTCAACAAGTAACCTTACTACAGTCAAAGCTCGTTATAGTGAAAATTTGATTCCAGGCATTTTTGTCCACTATAACGAATTTCCACTATAAAGAAAAATCTCTTTATAGTGAACTTATTATAGATAAATTGAAAAGTCTCTTATAACGAGATTAAAAAATTTTTTTTATTTAGGAACACAAATAAATTCATGCATAACATATATACGTAGTAAAATAAATAAATTATTATTAAGTAAAACTGTCTAGTGTAAGTTGTTTTGCATTATCCTGAATATGTTTATGAATTTTTGATTTTAAACCATTAATCATTTTTAATTCTTGATAAAATTATCTGGTGGATTTTTTAAATATTGAATCACTTTTTCTAAATTATTTAATGCATCAATTGAATTTTGTAGTTCAAAAATTTCAGTAGAAGAAATTTGATTTATTGCTTCTTCAGTTTGTAAAAAAAATTAATCAAGCGTTGCTTCCATCAAAAAAAGAATAATGCACAAATCAGTTAATTTTGTAAATTAATAAAATTAATAAAAGTTAGCACACCAATTAATTCATTTGTTAAAGTCGCACACTATTTAGATATTAACCATTAATGTAAAAGATTCCTGTAAATCACATGATTTCCACAAATTTTATTATAAAGTGGATTGGGAAAATAAAAAAAGTCCACTATAACGAGCTTTGACTGTATTAAATATTACGTGTTGTAAGTGTTTCAAGTTATAACTTGAACCTGGCCCGCAGCTGTTAATGTTAAGCCCAATCCCAATCCGAAAATCGAGTTCGGATTGAGTCCCGTGATTAATTTGATCCGATGCAGGTATCTAGTTAAGCTGTTATGATTTGAAAATACCAAATTTGGACATTGTTGATTTGGAATGGAGGCATGGCCCACTCATACAGTTTTTGATAATTGAACAATTAAATGATAAAAAAAAAGAAAAGTGACGACGGCAACAAAATATGAATTACGATTATGATGAAAAGAAGCTGTAAGTTCTTGAAATGGGATTCAAGTGTTCAATTCTTCCTTTAGTTAATAATAATAATGACTTTCGTTTTGTAGGTGACAACTGAAAAAAAAGAAATTAAAAAATGGGATGCAAGGAGATGATATTAATGGACCATTTACGCTAGACTATTTGTAAGATATAAACAAATATAATAACAACAGGTAAGTCGAATGAAATGCAATATTAATATTACGCGTATTTATTTGTTTTTGTATGCAAATAAATATTCGAAATTGTGTGGTGATACAAATTAAAAATCGGCAATAAAAGGGAAAATGAATTTTTCTTTTAATTAATTTAATTAATAATAAGAATGATAAGAATGCCACCATCACACTGTCATTACCATCATAATTTTACAAAGCGTCTACCACTAATGCTAAAATATTTACGCTTAACTCAAATACCTAAACTTCAATCATTTGCCATTATACTATCACTACTACTCGTCTATTTCATATTTTTAAACGCTTACCACACTAAACCTATCGATCGCAACCATTATTCATTACAAAATCCTCGAGAACTTAAAGGTTTGTTTATGTACGCTTCTCTTTGTAATTGACAGATCTAGGCACAATGCTAATCCATATATATATTTTCAAACACGCTCCAACATTATGCATATAGACAATTGGCTTGATAAAAATGTAAATACATCAATGTTGAATGAACATACATATCCACAATTATTGGAATTAACTTCTGGCTGGAACCCATATTTATCTTCTGAATTAACTATTATTGCCATAATTGACAAACTTGAAAATATCGAACCACAATTGAACTCTATATTCAATCAATCAATAATATCAGCAAATATTATAATAGTTACGTCAAAAAGCATTGTAAACAGAATAGAACAAGTGCTTGAAGAGAAACATAATGATTTTATAATATCTATACATATAATGGATACTGGTAATAAATTAAAATTGTTAGGTTGGCTACAGCTTACACAACATATAAAAACGACTAATGTGCTCCTTTTGGATTCTGGTGTAATACTTGGCAATAAATTTATTTTGAACATGCTCCATGTTGCAAACACCAGTGAATATAGTAATGCCCTGTTGGGAACTATGGGTGCATACGTTAAAGTTAATGGTGGTTTGAGCACGAAAAACAATGATAAAAAATCATTGGTTTGCCTGGCAGAAAATAATAACAATTATCATCAGGATCCAACATTGTTGGATTCGGTCACCAATTCTCAAAAGGTTGACATGCTGACTAATATTTGGTTTTTCAAAAGACAATGGATTTCTACACTGTTTCAAGGACAAAATAGATTGGATGTTATGTCGAATGGACTCCCCTTTGGTTTCTATTTCACTTATGCTCTCAAATATCACGCAAACATACCTTCTTATATCCTACCTACTTATGAAAATGATAAGGAGACTTGGGGTGACAAGAACTCAATACAACAGAACACATGTGAAAATCTACAATCAACCCTCAAAACGAATGTTCCTTGGAACGATCTTATTGAACATGGTTATCCCGTAGTATTCAAAGAATCATTGAAGAAAAATATGGAATTGAACAGAATGCTGTTTGTTATTGATGGTGAACATCAGGAAAAAATGTTTAGACCATTATTTTGCAGTTTATCAGCGATCAAGAATAATTCAGTAAACGTGGTGGTAACTGGTAGTTCAAGAGGGATGTCTGCTTTGAAACTTAAATCCATTCTTTTGAAAAATAATTACTATTCAAAATGCAAAAATTTAGAAATTTATGATTTGGATATTAAGACAGATTCTTACAATGATGATATTGAATTGAAAATTAAAGTTTTTCATGGTGTTGGTAAGATAATGCAATCTATAAAACCAGAAGTTGTAATTTATTCTAAAATTGAAAAAAATGAAGTTGTTCATGGAATAACACTTGCAGCAAATGAAATCAAAAATATCACAAAAATACAATTACCTTTAGATGAAATCCATCATGCAATAGAAATTATGACTGATTTGCCATTTGAATCATTAAAAAGTAAGTAACCTTTAAACATATGTGTGTGGTGTGTGTGTTGATATTGATTTGTTATTTATAATATTTTTCATTTATTTGTATAGAGTGGAATTTACCAAAATTTCAAATACAAATACTTACACAAAGCCGACCAGATTCTTTGATGCGTCTTTTGACATCATTGAATTCATCGATCTACTTTGGAGATGATATTCCATTAACAATCAATATGGACAGAGGAGCAATTAATCAAACAATAGAGCTTTCAAACACATTTAAATGGATACATGGTATGAAGAAAATTAGACACAGAGTGGTTCAAGGTGGCTTATTGCCTGCTGTAGTTGAATCATATTATTCTTATGATTACAATGATTATGCGCTTCTACTGGAAGATGACATTGAGCTATCACCATTTCATTATCTTTGGTCAAAATACGCTATTCTAAAGTATAGATATGGACCAGATAGAGCATATAGTAAAAGATTGTATGGTTTAAGTTTATATAATCAGAAAAATATGGAACTTCCACTTCCTGGCCGCGCCAAATTCTTTCCTGAAAGGGTGTTGGAAAATACAAAATATGATATCAGATCACCATATCTATGTCAGGTTCCTTGTAGTTGGGGTGCAATCTACTTTCCAGAAATATGGCGTGAATTTCATGAATATCTTGTTGCTCGAATGGATGATGCCGACACTTATAGACTTCATAATATACGGGTGCCATATAGTCGATCAAATTTTTGGAAAAAGTCATGGAAAAAATATTTAATTGAACTGGTATACCTTCGTGGCTACGTGATGTTATATCCAAATTTTAGTAATTTCACCAGTTTCTCCACAAATCATGCAGAATTTGGTGAACACATTCATTTCCGAGAAAATAGACCTGATCCAGGTTCCATATTTGGTGTGCCATTGATGCAAGAGAATATTATTTTCCAGGAATTGCCTGATGGTCAACTAGCCAACTATAAGGAATTGCCTGTGATGGACTTATGGGGAAATCTTACCACATCTAATGAATTGGTATATCGTGGACATCATTTTCAATCTAATGTGTCATCATGTTCACCATCTGACAAAAATGATGAACCAACATTTGATCCACACGATCTGTTGTGCGTAGATCCAGTTAAGAAGCGTAAAGCATTGGCCAAGTTGCATAAATATAATAGAAATTTGAATATCATGTTGAGGGTTTTTCAAGTGGTTGAAAATTATGCAGAAAAAAATAAAAAGAAAATGGGACCAAAGAGATTTATAAAGACTTTTTTGAAAATATTGAATGGAACATACGTCCCACCGCCCACCAAATTCAAATAATGATATTACATTCCTAAATGGAAATAACAGTACATTGGTAGATGGGAATAATGAAAAAATCGGTAGAAGATCTTAATCAAGATGTTAATATGTTTAAATAATTCTAATTGATTGATTGGGGTTCATCAATTAAAAAGTTTGTAATAATATATTTGTTTATTCATTCATTCATTCATTCATCCCTCATCCATCATCATCCATCCATCCATTCATCCATTTATTCATATTCATTTATTCGTATTCACTTATTCATTTCTTTAGAAAAATTTAGATACTCATTATAATTTTAGATATTTATTTAATAATAATAATAATAGTAATTTAATGTACAGATCTAATTTTAATTTAATTTTTTATTTTATTTATAATATTTATAATATTTGTAAGATCAATAAGGCTTTTTTAGTCATTATATAAAAAAGTAATGTATTCATTCTTCACACATAAATATAGAGTCAAAAATCATTGATGATACATAATCAGTATGTCGTGACAAAAATTATTCCTAGAATTTCAATGCAAGACGTATTTGATGTTATTGGCTTGCCTGTCAACACGTTAATCCATGTCATGTAATGCTATGGAATGTAAAAAATCGATTGGATGAATTCCACTCGTTTTTTGTATGTGAAAGACAATATAATACTTGATTTATAATGAGCTTTTGAATGATATAATTAAAATTGTTTCATTTTTTTAATAATATACACTCACAAAGCATTTCAATTTATTGTTACAATTGCGCGATTTTGATTTTGATAAAAAAACCATTTATATAATTAACCGGTTAGTTAAAAATTTTTTAGCCTCTATTCCAAAAAAAATTGCATAGTAGTTTTGTCCAAAAGACTGCAATACCTGCGTAAAGACCTGCTTGGTGATTATTTTCCATAGGCCGAAAATTTACTATCAATCTATTACTCCGTAAATCAAACCTTTTACTTTTATAAACAGGCAAATTATGCTATTTTCAGAAATATATTTTTTTTAATTGAAAAATCTATTGGAGAAATCGAGTAACCAAAAATTAAACACTACTTGTTATAAAAATGAATATTCGCTACATTTATACTTTACTTTTAGCATTCATTATTTTATCAACCACACAAGCTACCATCATAAGAATTATAAATAATACGGACAGATTGTTGATTGCCAGTTGCGCTTCTGGAGTTGATAGTATTGGTCTAAAAAATTTTAAATGACAAAGAATCCTTCCAGTGGTCATTCACCCCTAACATCTTCTTCACTTTATTCTTGGTGTGATATTATGCAAGATAGCATCAAAAAACACTTTGATGCTATTATAATGGACTTGATGGTGATATCATTGAGTGGAGTATAACCAGAGCTGACAATGGATTTATAATGAGTAAACTGTGAAAGATGTATCATCTGTTCTTAATACTACTACTATTTTTAAACACCATCAACTTCCCAAAAATATGTAATATAAAATTTAATCCATGAAATTGAAAGAGAATCATTTAAGCTTTTGCATTTTTTCAGTATGACAAAAATTGGAGGACTAGATACAGTTAGAAGTCACATGAAAATTATTGTTGATAAAATATAATTTTTAAAGGATTGTAATAAAAAAAAATTAGTTATTCAAATAAAATAAAAATATTATATCACACTGCCAAATCTTTAAATCCCAAAATAACAATGTTACTATTTAGTGTCACAGGATTATGGTTGCCAAAACTCCTCTGGAAATCAATTGGCAGAGTTTTGGCAGGTTACACACTAATTGTTTGGCAAGCAACCTTACACAGGATTATAAAATCACATGACTCAATCATTTATCAAATAATTTGAACAAATAATTTGAATAAACAAATAATTCAATAAATGAATAAATGAATAATTCCAGTAAAATGAACAAAACAAATAATTCAAATAATTCATATATCAATTTCTTTATCTGAGTCTTCTTCAACTTGATGCATATTCTAAATTTTATTCAATTCATTATCTGACTTTGTTTTTTAACATTTCTATATAGCTTTTCCTAAATGTGCAAATTTGCTTGTCTTGACATTTTTTATGTAAATTTGTTGGTAATAAGGTTGCTTGCTGAAACCTCTTAGTGACTGTCAAAACTCTGTCAAAACTCTAATGAACAATTAGTGATTGACAAAACCCCCAAATGTGAAACTCTGCCAAAACTCTAATAAACAATTAATGTGTAACCTGTCAAAACTCTGTTGATTGATTTCTGGAGGAGTTTTGCCCACAACCTTAGTTGGTAATGTATTGTTTGTTGATTGCTTACGAAAAAAAAAACATTAGTGATTTGAAGTTGCACAATTTTTTGATGTCTTTAGATGACCTGCACCATAATCAATTTCATTATAAATTTTGTCAGGTACACAACAATATGATTTATATTCTTCTGTCTCATGACATCAAAAGTATATTCTCTTTTTTCTTTGTTGTGGTTTCTTGATGTAGTAATTGAAATTGTTTTTGCAAATTTCAGTCAACCTAGTCCTAGAAATAATTCTTGTTCTACAAATTTCTATATTCTTTAGGAGTGATTTTTCCTTTGATTTCACAAATATAGGATAAACTTTTTTCTATAACATCCACATCATCATCTATAAGTGATTTAATTTTTTGATGACAACCTTGTAATGATTTTGGCAAGCACTCATCTTTGATCCAACATTTTGCCCAATATCTAATTTGTATAGGCATTTATCATAAACTGTTTTTGCAGATTGCAAACTTTCATTGTTTCTTCATAAAAATGAATTGATATAAACTTCATTTCATTCAACATATCTGTCATATTTTTTAAATTATTGTACTTTAAAAAATGATGGTTAAATTTTCATTACACAACTTTTAAAAAATAGCTGCAAGGATTTATATTCATATGCGGTTATTTTCTTTAAATTATTTGATGGTATATTTTCAAGCTCAATTAATTTAGGTGTAAATGAATTGTCTCGAAAAAACAAACTTACTTTATTAACATCTTATTGTGCTACACTGTTGATTTTTAATTGGTTTATTTTATAGGGTGCGTAATGACGGTTGATACTTCACTATTCTAATTATGGGTTGGTTGTTTGGCCATAATTGGTTAATATTTTTCTATGAAACAAAAAAAGTTTTTTATTTAAATTTAGAATGTGAAAATATTGTGCACAAAAGAGTAGGACACAAGCTTGATCGTGAAGGGAAACCATACATCTTCATGCTATTCTGAACGCTTAGATTCATGATGAGGATGTTTAATATATATATATATTTGTATATATTTTTTTGTTCAAGTTAATGTTGTATTGGCCAAAAAAGAAAAAAATCATTTCTTTGTGATGATGACGAAAAAATTTTTTTTGTTTATTCAGTCAGTTCAGTATCTTTGTATATACAGTAAATATAAATTTTTTAATAAAAAAATTTATTATGTGTTATAATTTATACAATTTATACATATTAATATCCATCCACATTACATTTCCAACACCATTATTACGTCATATCTGTATTACAATCACTGTTTGCATCATTATTATTTCTACTAACACCATCTCTAATTATAACAATAATACTATTAAATATTAATAATATACCATTATATACCATTCATTACTCGCGTAACAATAACATAAAGAACATTATATATTAATGTACATTATAATTACTTGTATATCATTAATTACCATTCGTTACTTGCATTACCAACATCATCTCTAATCTATTCACTACTTGCATAACTAACATCAATATAATGTACAGTATATCTATAAATTATGGCTAAGTACATAGTCGTTGCTGAAATCTAGTCACAATTAAGTCAACTGTCTGCGGCTTATGATTTTGCAATGGTTTTATATCTGCATTGTCAAATTAATATTAATATATATATATATATCAATATTGAATGAAAAGTAATAATAATTATACCAAATGAAATATCTACTGACCACTTGTTATCATCATTATTATCATCATTTGTTACTTTTATCTCTTCTCATACCATATGTATTATTAAATTTAAGATTCTTTCCATCATTATAGTCTGAATTACATGTAAATATTTTCACGATACCACCATTCATAATTTCTTTTCCTTTTTAATATATTCATAATACTGATTCATATAATAGTTAATACAAAACTCACTATTCTATTTGGATTTAAAAAATAATTATGTGTTTTTCCTTTAAGAGTAAAGTATAACATGAATCTTTTTATTGATGAAAGAACTCTTGATAATTTAATCAGTTATTTTAGTCTTAAAATCAAAAATTTCTGATTAGTAAAAGGATCAAATAATTAAATGATTTATTAAATAATTATATATTTTTGACTTCACTGTTACTTTTCATGACGCAAAAATTTCAGCTGACATTTCTTACAAAATATCACATATTGATCATGTCTGACTATTAATAAGTTAGTTATTAGTTCTTTTATACATTTTGAAGTTGTACTAAATAAAACACTTAAAAAAAATTTTATCTCATAGTAATAGCAGAGGTTTTTCTTTTGGTGTTACTCAATAATAAATGGAATTTAAGGCCAATTTTTAGTTTAAGAAAAAAGCCATCCGAAAAGTTTTGAAGCTTGAGTCATGAACAATAAAACCTATCTGTTAACTTTTTTTAAATATAAAATTTTTTTTGTTTTAGTAATTTGAAGCTGATCTGCACAGGAAAGATACCAATAATCAAAAGTTTCACGTGAAGGAATTACCAAATCGGCCGGCAAACAAGTTTAACCATAACCACAAAGCCAATCAAGAAGAATAATAATAACGTTGATACAAAACGTTACAAAATCCATGGCAAATAGCTACACCAATAAACAATATAATGATGAATAATATACCTGATCTCAATGCCAATAACGATTCTACTTTCTATATCAATAAACAACCTAAACACCAATAACAGCTTTATCATCAAATACCAATAATATTCATATCAACAGGAACGATAACATCTGCGAACACAACACATCATCAAAACCAGAGTTTTCCTCTTGCACAGCAGGTCAAGGTATTGCTAAAAACGGGTCAGCGGAGAGTAATTTGCTGGTGGAACCGCCCGCCGCCCTTACTTCCACTAACAATACAAGAAGTTAACATCCTAAACAAACTGGGCAGAAACATATTCAAAATGGGCGACACGCACTCCAGTTAATATTTCAATAATTTAAAAGAAATCGTGGAAATAATATAGAAGGAACAAAAGAAAAGGTAAAATACAATAATAATAATAACAATAACAATAATCTATGAGCAATTGGATCGTTAAAATTTTGAAATAAATAAAAATAAAAATTGTCAGAGTCAATTTTATTTTCAATTTTTTGATGGTTTTCTTTAACTTTACACAATTCACTTTTATATCTTTAACTTTCTTATCTGAATTAAACATTTCTGCAAGTTGTCTAATCTTCTCAGGAATAATTACAAAAAAAATTGATTGATTTTACAGAATATATTACAAACATTAATAGAAACATTGATATAAATAAATAAATAAATAAATTTTTTGCAAACCACAACCAAAATATCAAAGTCACCAATAATTTAAAGTTCATATAATAGTCAATACAAAATACAGACTTAATTATAACACCTATCATTAAAAACAATAAATTTACTTCGTTTTGATTTTCTTCCCCCTCATCATTTCTTCTTCTACTGTCAACGATGCTGCCACTATGATTGTTGTGATTACTATCATGACAGAATGAATAATGTTCGTCAAGTAATATATGGTCATAAAATATTATATTACAAGATTTACATGCCGGATGACCTTTAAAATTGAAATTTTTGGAATCTATAGAATCATCTCCATGGAAATGTCGTTTCAATTCATACTTTGTATATAATTTATGTTCCTTGATAAAAAGGTTTCTACTAAATAGACACAATTCACTAAATAAAATTAAAAAAATGAATGAATCAGTGGTTGGATGATTTGGATAAAATCTATGAGAAAAGATGTATGTTAATATATAATCTTACCAAAAAGTTAATTTATGAACTTTTCTAACATGATTTAAAAGTTCAAATAATCCATTTTCATTATTATTACATTGAAAACGACAATCATCCTTTGGACATTTGAGTCTGATAAATTCCATTGATTTTTCGTATATTGATTTATCTTCGCAAAATATATCAAGATTTGGTAGCTTAAAAAATAATTGCTTATGTTGTGAATTAAAAGATTTCTTTGGATTTCTTGTGAAAAAAACTTGATGCTGATATGTCTAGAAATATTAATGTATTAATTAATACTAGCTAGTAAAGAATTTATTTTAATAGGGTTGGCTGATTGGTTACTTACTCTACAATATGCACAATTAAAAGATTTAAACAAAAATCTTGATCTAAGACAACACACATAACATATTCTATGATTACACTGTGAAGTTGCATATATTCCTATTTTTTCTGTACAAATATTACAAATAGCCTTCTCATAGTCCTCATCTATTTCGTCATCCTCCCAATCGTCGTCATCATCATCACCTAATTTTCTCGTTTCATCTTCTTCCTCTTCCTTAATAAACTCTAAATAATTCAAATTATTATTGTTCGCTAAAGATCTATTCTTTTTTATTGTCAAATTAATTGGCTTTGTGGTGGTACTGGAAACCTTGAATCTTATAAAACCTTCATCGGCGATACAACATTGAAGTTGACCGGGTGCACTTTTAGTCATCTTCATTCTTGCTGAATGAGAATAATTGTGCGTTTTCGAATATTCGCAAATTGCTGTTTTGTTATCTTTGTTATCGTTCATTTTTAAATTTATTTTGCTTTGAGTGTATTGGTAAATTTATAATTTATAAATTTTTTGTTATAAATATTTTTTTGAAAAAAAATCTAAATAAATTTGACGCGTTATTTATTTTCAAAAATTATTAATGGCGTAATTTTTTTAGTTTCATTGATCTTCGTTCGCATGTGAAAACAAATGTACTGTTGCTCTATTTATGTGCAGATTTTTTTTTTTTTTTTTTTTTTTTTTTTCAAAAAAGGTTTATTCTTTTAACAAAAAAAAAATATAAATAACAGGAATCTTTTTATGATTGAAAATAATTTATTTTTACCTAAAGAAACTAATTAAAGAAATCCTTACAAAAATTATTTTGCATCAATAATTTCATTTCTTTTGTAAACAAAGAGACAAATTCACTCATATGACTCCTGAATAAGAGTATCACGCATACAGGAACTGCAGACCGACAAAATGATTGTTAACGTAATAAAAATTTGTCCTTTCTACTAAATTAATATTATGTTGTTCAATGTGCGATTATGCCCAAAATTAAGAATTATGCTCCAATTATGCAAAAACATGATCATGGACGAGCAGAGTTTTAGAATTTGTATATTCGGGCAGAAAACGTCCCAGAATTTCATGATAACATAACAAATGTGATTATTCATTAATAGTGCTCACTGCATAATGATATGTTATAATATATTTAAAACCTGCTTATGGACGAGGTTCATTTGTCAATCATTTTTGTATTTTTTTTAACTCATTGATTCATTTTTCTTTCTCCCATTAATAATAAATGGTTTAAATTGTTAATTCAAATCTTAAATTCAATAATAGCATTAATAACAATCATAATAATAACAACAATAATTACGCAAACAACTGTCAAAACAACAACAGCACTTTTATTTAACAAAGATTCTCAATCGATCTTTCTAAATTTTCATTTGTTTGTAATAAATGTAGACAAGATGGATTCAATGGAACTATTATCATAACACAAAAATCATGTGAATTTTGTAATAATGATAATGACCATAGTAACAATGATCATCATAATATTAATGTTAAAAGAAGAAACATTTTGAATGAAAGTTTTGAAGGTTGACGGTAGTAATAAGAGTAATGTTTATGATTGTAATGTTCACAAAGATAGTTATATTGTTAATTTGATAAGAGTTTTATTTAATAAAAAAAAATTATTCTGCAAACCGTGTGGACACAAATCCAAACAAACAATTAAAGATTTATCAGTAATGGAAATTTATTAATGAATTACTGGCAAAACTCAGATTACTTTCATCAACTAATAATGAACTTAAGAAACACTTATGGGAAGAGCTTTTGATTTTAATAATAATAATAATAATTGCAATAATAATAATGAATTGGGTTTAAGTGAATTTGATTATGAGGCAAAGGAAGTTTTGATTGAGAACCTTTGATCTCACAAAACTCTCAATATCAGATAATTTTAAGCAGACTAATAATGATAATGATAATAATAATGCACCATTTTCAACATATTCAATAAATAGTGAAAATCCTAGGAAAAGAAGGAATTGTCCATCATAATAAGTCAGCAATAAAAGAAAGGTAATTATCATTTAATAAATTTGAATGAATACCTCTCTATGATGACAACATATAGTGTGGTGGCTCATGCTGGGTGGGTGTATTGCATATATGATGGCGAAAAAATTCGAAACTTTCAAAAAAATCACACAAGTTTTCGAAATCGAAATACCCTTGGCGAAATTAAAATCTAAATTCAAAATCGAAATCGAAATCGAAATTCAAAATTGAAATCGAAATTCAAAATTGAAATCGAAATTCAAAATCGAAATCGAAATTCAAAATTGAAATCTAAATTCAAAATTGAAATCTAAATTCAAAATCTAAATTCAAAATCAAAATTGAAATTCAAAAAATTGAAATAAAAACATTTTTTATTAATTTCGAATTTCGAATTTTGATTACAAATTTCGATTTTGATTTCGAATTTTGATTTTTTCGAAACCTGTTAGGATATATTCGAATGTTTGAACCCTAATCGTCGAAATTATTGTCGAAACAAAACCATTTCGCCATCATATATGGTGTATTGATCCTTCGTGACATGATCTCTCTTTTGTTAATTGTAGATAAAATTCATTAATTGATTTGATTGGTTACATTTGTAATATATGATGGATGATCCATCAATTATGAGAAAGCATTATTTATTATATAGCAACAAGTAGCAAACGACAACAATGAATCATATTTTTTGAGGATGATAATAAAGATTAAGATCTGATTTTGTTTCATGAAAATATTCAGGATGGCTGTCCTATTTATATGTTTTGAATTTAATAAAATAGACTATTGTCTTGGCCTGAATGATGTCATTTTTTTGCTTTTTGCGATGCAATCCAAACCCAACTTAAAATAAATGAATTTTGTTCTCGCGTAGCAGAAGCTCACATTTCGTTCTCAGTTGTAAGCTTGTTATTGTAATAATTAGGAAAAAATCTTGCAAATAACTTACAAACTTGTTTATTAATATCGTTGCGCGAAATTTTCAATGTCACAAAGGAAAAAGTCCAAGTTCGTTGGAAAAATATTAGAACGTAAAATTATTGCAAATGTAGTGAGTAATACTGCGATATTAATAGAAACTAAAATAATAATACTTTGTTTGATATATTATTTGATTTTAATTAAACTTTTGCGAAATTAATTACAATTATTAAATTCAAATTACATACATGAATTAAAAAATCATGATTTTCAACATCAGTAACTTGTGTTATTGAAACATTAAACTCATAAACTTGATTATTATACACGATAAATCTATTGCTTCGTAATCGAGAAACCCCAAGTCTTGATATTTTTTTAATAGTCCATCTAGTGCTTCATCTTTTTCCAATAAATTTCTTGCTGACAATCTCAATTTAAGAGGCTTGGGCCCTTTCCAATTGTTCATCAATAGATCTAAAGTACCATCAATATCGACTTCATCGTCAAAAAAGTGGACTCTTTCTGCAAAAACAAGAGTATCCAAATATTTTGGTAATGCTTGATTTAACACAATGAGTATTCTATTTCCATTTAATGTATAATATTTATATGATTTGTCAAATACAACATGCTTCAAATAAGTACAGTTTGTGAATATTTCCATTAGTTGCTCATTTAAATCATTTCTATAAATTATAGACAAATATTCCAATTTTTTACAATTTTCCCCGATTGACTGAAACAAATTTCTTAGTTTTTGTACATCAAGTGGATCGCCTTTAATTGCAAAATTTCTAATATTTTTTCCATTCAATTTAACAAAGTCTGCCAAGTCTAATAGGAATGTTTGCCGAAAAATTTCAAATTGCACGCATTCTAAATTTGGAAATGATGTGTATTTGAGAAATTTAACATTGTTAACAAAACTACCATTGATGATTAAATTCTTTAAATTTTGAAATGATGGTAATAATAAAGTATCTACATTATTAACTCCATCACTTTCATAATAAACTATTGATCTCGAATGTTTTGATATTGCATTTAATAATTCATCTGATAAAACAATATTATAGCCAGAGCTGTCTGATTGAACATGTAATTCTATGATTTTATTTTGCATTCCAATTAGTTTAGCTAGATTATCATTATTGATTCTAAAATCATAGTCATCATCATCATCATCGTCATCGTCATCATCATCTTCAATATATATATTTATTGTTAAAACTTCAATTTTTTTGCAAGTTTCCGCTAATCCATAAAATAACCCATCATCATCGAAAAATTCACATTCCAATTCATATAGATTCTGAAAGCAGGTACCAAATCCAGGATAATCAGTCAACCATTCCAATTTTAAATCATATGTTGAAAACACTTTGATGGCTGTTGAATGATCTAAAGTAAAAATTATTAGTCTTCTAAGTAAACATTCAAACTGTTTGTCATCGCAATCATTTATCAGTTCTCCAATATTTTTATCAGTCTCTGGAAATATTAATTGAGTAGCAAATTTGGCGTAATTGTATAATAATGGTTTGTCTAATAACTGAAAATTCAATCTAATGCCATTTTTTTCTAGAAAACCTTTATCTTCTGCTAACAAACAATTGATTAATATTTTGATGCTGCCTTTAGAACAGAATGGATCTCTCCACAACATCTGGATGTTGATATTGAACCATCGCTTATTAACTAAAATGCACGAGTATAATGTTTTATGATCATCATCTTCAATATATTTAAATATTGGTATTAAAAGTTCTGTTGGTAGATTTATGATAAACATTTTATTTATTTTTTTTTTTGATATTCACTTTGATAATTATAAATCAAAACCCATGCATGGACCTACTATAAATGGAACTGCCGATCAATAAAATTATATGGGGACGTGTCAGATTTATGTGACAACGCTTGGTATGCAAATTATGCACCCTTTATTATAAAATTTATAATATATAACATTTCTAATGACTAACTGTTCCTAAATTAAGATGACACGTTACATTTACGTTTATCTTATTATTACATAAATATTATTAATAATAATAATGTTTCTTTTTTCTAGCACTCTTCTTCATGGAATTTGTTCTTCCGCCACTCTCTCAAATAAAAATATTAAAAATATTGGTTATTTGTGGTTACATTTTGATTTTTCACCTCAATCCTTGATAAATATAAACAGTGTTAATTAATACAATATCAGTCAGAACTTTAACAAAATATTAATATGGTTAGCTCGGTCTAAAGACACATTCAATAAAAATTTTTTAAAGGTTCCTTACTGCCAAATTTAGTAATGACGGTCAAAGGCTAGCCTAAAGTTAGCAATAATCATAGTGCTGTGAACATAGTAATAGTAAAATACATGTACTAAAAAAGAATAGAACTCTACAACAAACAATTTTTTTACATTACATTAAAACTAGAGACCTATTCTATCAACTAATGAGGATATTTTTTTAAAAGGTAGGACAGAAAATGACTTCTATACTTTTAAATTTTGCACAAAATTTTAGACCAACAAAGAAAGAGTCTGGGAGAAAATGAATAGTAGCTGTTTACATTATTTGGAAAATTTATCATTATCAGCCATTAATATCATTGTTACTATGTGTTGATGTAATAAATATGCGAGAACAAAAAATTTGGTCATCCTTTATAACTTCACTACAAGCAAGTTGTTTATTTTTTTATTTCTAACTGTCTCATTTTTTTTACTACTATTAATTTTCTCTTTATATTTTCGTTGATTTTTTCAAATACAAACCAACAACACATTGGTTAATTATTTTAAATCAGTGAGTGAATGTGTGAAAAATTCAGAAATAGCACTCAGCCTAATATAAGTATTTGGGGAATCAATGGTATGAGTTGTGATTACTTGTAAAAACTTGTGAATTAATAGTAGTGGATGAATAAGAAGTATAGAGGTGTACCAGTCTGAAAGCATTCGTGTTTGTTTGTATAGTTCATTCTCCTTATAACAGATCATTTGGCTTAGGAAAAATGTCCATTATAGAAAGAACACTATAGACAGTAATAATTTATATATTAATATAAGACACATAAATTGGGCTTAAATACTCAGTCACAAGATCTGTTATAGAGTAATAATTTATATATTAATATAGAGACATATAAATTTGGCTTAAATTCTCAATTTATTATGGAACAAGATCCATTATTATTATTATAGGTTTTCAGACATCTATTCACATTATTAATTACTCAAACACGTATTTATATCATTTTGTAGGTTTTGATGAATAGATGAATTAAAACCATACTTCTAGCACATCTAGATGTTAGTGATTATAAGCTTTAATTCAATGGTCATCATAATAAATGTTTTAGTCAGATTCTTTATTTATTTGAGCTCTAAATATATATATATTCACCAAAACTCAAGCTGTCAAATTGATATAAATTTAATTTTTGATACTTTTGAAAATTCTTATTTTGTTAATTCACCCTTGAGATTAATAGCTTTGTTAAAAAGTAAACATATACAATGATGACTGGTCCATTTACAAGTTCCATAAAAATTGGATTAATGGCTACAAAGATCAACCTGAGTACCTTATATATGGAAAGGTTGTAGACATACTTGCAAAAAGTCTCTGCACTTGCTGAAACCTCTTAATGACTGTTGAAACTCTGATAAACAATTAGCATGTAACCTTCCAAAACTTTGCTAATTGATTTCTGGAGGAGTTTTGGCAAGCAATCATACTCTGCACTATTACTAATACCAATCAGATGTCACAAAAAGTCAAGAAAGAAAATATGTGATAATCAATCTCCTTGGAAGAGTCACTCTGTGAATTGATTTTCAGTGAAAAATGCAAATAATGATATCCTCCCCTGGTTCAAACTGGAGTCAAGTTCAACAGGGTCTTTTTCTCCTGCTGATTTTGCCAAGCCCATTCCCTTGGCTGTGGTTTTGCTAGATAGTAGATAGGGACAGTCAACAATTCTAAATTATCCATACCAGTACTAATTGGTAGGTGCATTGTTGCCAATATGCCAACCCTTAGAGCCAAATCCTTTTCCTGAAGTTATGGATCAGTAAAACTTAATGCCCTTATCTACTTTGTTCTACCAACTAGAGGCTTTCACCTTGGAGACCTGATGTGGTTATCAGTATGACTAGGCATGAGAATAAATATCATCAGGAAACTTTTCCCGCCGTAATATTACATCCGTAAGTTTTAATATGAAATTTCGTAATATTTCACATAAAAAGGACATAATATTTACACTGAATGTAATAATTGCATAATTTTTGTGCAATTTTTGCATAATATTACACTATTTACGTAAGTTTATGGCGGGCCCCATAATATTACGTAAATTTACATCAGAAAAAATTTCCTGATGATTTCCCTTGGTTTTTCAAGGATCATTGAGAATACACTGGACTCAACCATAAGCATCAAGCTCTTCCAGTAATGGCACCCTATCTCCGATTAATTCAATTCCAGGGTATCATCATAACTGTTAAAAAGAAAAGATAACTCTTCCCAGGGCTCCCACCGATGTCACCAAGTTTACTTGAGATTACTGTATTAATTATCCACATCCTAGCGCAGGAATATTAACCTGCTTCCCTTTTGATAGGCTGGCAACGAATCACCTTTTAAAATGAAATTACCCTATCTCTTAGGATCAACTAGCCCACATCCAACTGCTGTTCACATGGAACTTTTCTTCACTTCAGTCTTCAAAGTTCTCATTTGAATATTTGCTACTACCACCAAGATCTGCACTAAAGGTTGTTTGACCCAAAATCACTTTCAGGGCATCTTAGCAAACCTAGTGGGTATAACCTAATGACATAACATAATTATGTTATGTCATTAGGTTATACCCACTGCAAAGTACAATGGGTTTGCATTTGCATCATACTTCAAAGTATGATGAGTTTGCATTTGCATCTTACTTTTCATAGGTTATGGCATAGGCTATCCCCACCAACCAGACCCTTTGGTTATGGCTGATTTGAGTTTGATTCATAATTTTAAGCGCTTGTCTGGATTTTTTATTTTTTTCCATAAATTTAAACCACTGCATTGACTTTGATTCCTGCTTTGGGTTCCAATTTGAATTATGATTGGTTTATGAATTTGTCATCATATTTGAGCTCCACTTTGGACTATGATTGGTTTATGGATTCATTGTAATTTTTGAGACCATTATAGTGGAGCATTAGTGGCAACATTAAGGGTGGAGTGATCACCATATCAAAAATCAGTTATACAAAATGACTAAAACAATTTTATGTTACATGATTTTATTTTGCAATTTAATAAAGTTATTTATAACAGATAACAAAGTGTTTAAGTACTTCATGACTGTTAGTAT